TTTCGATAGGCATTCGCGTGCCAAGGTCGTTTAATGAATGCGGTAATTATAGGAATAGTTGTAATTATTCTCAGTAGAATAAAAATATTTTTATTCACTTCACTTCTTTCCCTGAACAATAAATTTGAACATGAATTTCTTGTCGGAAATACGTGAAGGAGTTTAATGAATTCTTCTCAGGCTACCAGCCGTGTGAGGTGTTTTTATGAGGACGAAGACGAAGATGGTTCTCCGTTGAACCACCAGATAGTGCTGATAGCCCTAGAAGAATTCATTATACTTAGTCGCCGTGAAAGCTTCAGACCGTACATGTGAAGCAGGTAGCTGCTGTTGAGGGCGTGTGCACTTGGAACTCTTTGTGTAGTCCACAACAATGAAAATCAGTCTTCATCAAAGGAAGAGATTTTTTTTCAATCTTGGAAATATTTGTAGTTTTTTCGGGGATTTTTTAGGTGTGATAAACCGAAAACAAAAATTAATTCATCAAGTAATTTCGTCATTGATTCAAATCGAGTCCGAACATTTATTCTAATGCCATTAACAATTACGTTGAAACATGCTGTTCTGTTACGATCTGTTATAGGTTCGTGGGCATTTTGGTAAACACCTTTTTTTCTACAACTCGTTCTCGTCTCTTGACTGCCAAATGAATCTCATATTTGCATTTCTTGCATATTTACGAGTCTCGTTTACATTTAATTTCAATAATGTTGCTTATGCAAGCAGAGAACTGTTGAAGATTTATAACATTATTGTTATGTAGGCCTAATCGTGTTTCAACCTTTTACTAAAGTTAACACGAGACTTCATACTGTATGATCAGAGACTACAAATTTCATTTAAAACTGATTCACACATGTCAGGAACATTTTCATTGTCAGCAGACAATATTAACACTTAATCAGTCGACATTCCTAACGTATTTCATAAACAGGTTTCATAGTTACTTGCAATCTTTGGCTCGAAATCGTCCGTCTGGAGAAAACACATATTTTGTGTTAAGCTACAAGAACAGCTTGCCGTTAGTGACAATATGGCGCCATATTTCAGTTGTGACAACCGCACGGCGTAAAAAATCTCTTAAATCGTTTAATCCTCGTCCATGCACAACTGAACTCAGTGCTCCAAATCGGCAAATACGCGCTGGAGGCTAGGTTATCTCAAAAGACCTCTGGCCAACAAAGTTCAAAGATTTAACCCCGCCAGATATTTTCCTGTGGGACTTGCTGCAGTGAGGGGTCCACACAAACAAGCCTGGCATAATCGACAACCTCAGATAAAACATTGCCAAGAGATTGTGGCCATCCTTTCCAATTTGAAGTGTGATATCCATTTGTGCATGGCTGCCAAAAATATACTTTAAAAATATTAATTAGCTCAGAATTGCGTCTAGCGCCAGGCTCTGATCCAATGGCAAGTTCCTAGTATATGTTTTAATCCACGTTTCTAGCAAGGACACATGTTGTTTATTTTCATTGTCACAACCATCAATAATACTGAGATAAGTAATGCATTTTGATGTGGACATGATATTTAGAAGACAGAAAATTAAACTTTATTTGCTGTTATACATTTAACTACGCCATCTACCCGTATAAAATGGAAACAATGCTAGAAGAAGTAAATTCTTACCTCCTTTCTTGTTTTGATGGTCACCCGGAATCACTGGTCGACCAGCCTCTTTCCAGTATAGCTGAGAGATGAGGAATGGACCACAAAAGCCCCTAGTGCAGTGAAATGTGAGATTGCAGTTGGATGTTGCTTCACAGATGCATCCCATGCAAAGCTCCAAACCGAGAGAATTCTGCCGCCCTGAAATAGCGAATAATTCAGCTGGTTTTTCGAGCTGTCAAATACTAACTTTGCTGAAGAAGATTCAGATATCACAATCATAATTTTGTTATAATTCTCAGCTGTTGAAGTTGTACACGGACTTGGGTTAAGTACAGTACGTAACGTGGGTTGACGTCTGTCGATTAGGGTTCGGTCAATAACCTTCCGACCGTGGCAAGCGTCCATCACTACAGGATGCTGTTCCAAGAGCCCTAATTTGTTCTTCGTAACTTCTTTGTAAAAGACCACTTGAACATTATGATAGACTAGGCATGCAGCTTGAATTGTACATTATTTTGGTGGGGTAATCTAATTAAAAACAGTCACTTGACTGAGAAGGAGATGGGAGGAGAAGATTAAGAAAGGATTTTAAAGTTGTCACAATTCGGGGTTTCAGTAGGTTTATGACGAGAATGAATTTAGTCAAGGGTTTTCTCAACGCATCGAGTCCAATATCGATTAGCATTCTCTTCGCCCCTTCGCCCTCCAATCCACTGCGCATAAACGTCCTTGATGCTACAGAACTTAGAAATTATTTCGTATTCTATTGATGCACTTATACAGGAAGCATGTACTACACTTTTGGCGTAATTCCAATCGAAGAGCCTGATGCCTGCTGTTTCCACATTGCTAAGTGTGTGTAGGACGTAAACAATTAATTAAACTTAACTTTTTATAGTCCAGTGATAACTGTTTATGTCGCCTGCAGAACCTGTAAACCAGGTACTTATTTAGAAATGCCAGAAATTTCAAGCGTAGGAAGTTGTACGTACTCACATGTCTTTTAAAAGCTTTGGCGTAGGAAGTTGTACGTACTCACATGTTTTTTAAAAGCTTTCCTTCCTATTTTACATCGATTTAGATGCAAAGCTTCGACCAAAATGTAATTTTCCTTGTATTTTATGAAATCGTGATATCAGTCTTTCCTATAGAGATTTTCTGTTTTTAGGAACGTTGATAAACTTCTGTTTGAGGCTTTTGTTATATCTCTCAGGTATTTAAAGCATATTTAAATAGTAATAGTAGCTACGACTTGGTACCTTCCTGATCCTCACCAATCAACGTCCACAGATTTTATAGGTTTATCTTTGATTTCTGGATCGATTCTAGAAATAAATGTTCTCGATCGTTAAGACGTGTTTCATCTGCGTGTGAAAGGTAAATTGGCGGTGGGACCCTCAGATTGGAGGGTGTGTGCTGATGAATACGGTGACTGACAATCTCGAAAATGACACGGAAATGTTGACACACTGCATGGGTTATGAAACTGCGACCGGCCAAAGAAATCGATACTTCATGTGTGGAGCAGCGGATGACGAAGAAGTCAGTTGAGTCACACGCCAACCTAGTTGTCTGAGCTACTTTCCTTTTCATGTCTCTAACAGGATATTACCATAGCAACGTCACCAAGAAGTAATGAATATCCTGTTTTGGACACTCAGGTGTGAATACATTTCCGCTTACGTGACAGTCAGACTCGTTGCATACTAAATAAGTAGATGACTAAGTTGTAACGTAACTTTAAATGCTTGACACTTGCATTTGGCTGTACTACTTAATTTAAGAAACGTTTAAAAGACGAGATTTCTGATTCTCACGTTGGCGATTGTGAACTTGGTCGATTTTCTTCTGGGATGTTGCGCCGTGTAGTGTGGCAGAAATTTACCGACTTTACAGAGGTCCTTGCTGTTCCGTCAGTAACGCGCATGCGTGTAAACAGAACTCCACGATGCGTAAGAATTTCTGCAGTCCAATTACAAATCGTCTAAATTGATAGGTGATTGTCGCATTCTTGATGCAAGCCCCCTTGCCAGACAAATTGCCTCAATCTGCTTTCCATCATACAAAGAACAACACACCCAAATACAACAGATAGAGTGGTTAATGAATTTTAATCATTTACGTTTCTTAGAAAGGTAACTGAACAAATCGGTTACCAGAACGTAATCACAAATACCACTTAAAATCGTTGTTAATTAGCCCACGCTATGAAACGAAGGTGTCTTTCTGAATAAGATGGATCCAACCACTTGGTTGGTTACCTGGAGCTAGAAGACCCCACGTGGTGGCAACAGCTAGCAAGACAAGCAGCACGTATCTAGCGCCGGTCTGGTCCATACCTCTGTGACTATGTTCTGATCACAGAACTCACTCCATATATACGACTGGCTACCCACGCCCCAACTCCTGTTCCTGTTTCCCCGGTGTCAAGAAACCCCGGGCGTTACCATTTACAAGCATTCTCAGCTACCTGTCTCGTTGATGTGCACTGCCTTCAAGGGAACTCTGTCGAAACAACAGAGCGACAAGCCTCATCGTAATTTACGTTCTTTACGTTAAACGGACCAGGACTTGCAGCACGAATGGAGAAACAAGAAATGCATGGTGAGATTTCAGGTTCTCACGGTAGAATGAAGATGGATATTTTCTGGAAGAGACTCCCTCATCGCCCTGGTAGGACCGTTTAAAGAACGTTAAAGAAACAGCTTATGAAGAAGTAACTGGCTCCAGTGTTGGACTTTTATTGTACATTTGTGGAGACGATTATGTACCTCCGGGTTCCCGAAAAGCTGTCAGTTTTTCATCACTTGAGCCTACGCCGCTGAATGACGACCTTAGCTGCAGAGTCTGTTGCTTAATTACTTAATTCGTTACTTACAACAATGCATTTTGTCTCTGTTAACAAATTCGCCTTTATGTTTTATAACAGGAGCTGATACATCGATGTATCATCGTTTTTTCCTATTCCTTTCCGATTTAATCTAACAAATAATCAACCAACTATTTACCTTGGCAATGTTGAAGATACAGTCCCGATTACCAGTGTTTACCGACAAGTCAGTAATTTGTCACGGTAAGTTTCAAATTAGGCCTACATGGAAACATCGATAGGTTAAGACGGACGGACTTAAGAAGACGAAAGTCAAGAAAATGCTGTTTGTTACTCTAACAAAGCATTGAATCAATTCTATGTTCATTTAGGCTTAAATTTAAGTCACTCGTAGATTTTGATGTGAGATGCAACTGACCTTGGTGTTGAAAACCTAACCTAACCAAATCAGGTGAATCACAGCCTGATCGAACCAAAAGTACTCTAGCGTACCCTAGCGTAATCTAGCGTAACCAAACGAAACCTAACCTAATCTACCGCAATTGATTTAATATAATTCTTACAACCTATATCTATAGGATCAGTTTAAACATTATACTCCCATACATAATCTAGGTTTACCCATAGAAATTTCCCATTTGGATTTTCCAAACAGCAAACTACAAAATGTTGTTGTCCTGTTTTCCCCGTTCGTGCTGTAACCTCTACTCAGCCTG